CATTACCGATCGTCAGACTTGTTCCTGTCCCCCTCCCCTCCCCCGCTACTCGTCCTCCTCCTTCTCACATGCTCTGCTATTTCTAGTCAACAGCATACACACAACAACAACACCCGCTAACGCGACCGACTCTTGACTCTCCTAGTTCCTGCGATCGAAAATCTGCTGCCCGCCGTATACTAGCTGTTTTCGTTGAGCGCATGCATGTGTGGTGTGTGGTGTGTCGATTCGTTTCCGTCTGTGTATGCCACGCCTTGAGTAGTCTGGCAAACTCGCCTGAACTTGCAGCTTCGACGACATTCTGCATGCGCTTCCATTCGGCAGTGTTACTGTTCCCTGGACCACCAAATCGCGCAGCTGCTCCTGGATCCATTCTACAGGCCCTTTTGTAATCTCTTGATCCTTTAACCATTCAGCTGCCTCTTGACTTCAAGTGGGACTACCTCTAATTCCCAAGGTGCATTTCGCTCAGCTCATCTTATGAAGCTATATTCAATTTCCACCGCACTCATAAAATTCTATGATTTTTTTCTCCATATGATTTATACCAAAACACACCTTTGAGCAGTCTCTGGACGTCGTTGTTCTCAGAAACCAATAATTCCTGTTTATGGGATAATTAACATTTCAAACACGAAACGCATAAGATCTTCTCAAGTTTGGCAACAGTTAATATATCTTACGATCCGCTCAACCTTAGTTTGTTGAATTAGGCTTTATTAATCTATCGAAATAGTTTTTCGTGGTTATAAAACCAGTCAGAATTAAGAAAGTCGTTTTACATGGAAGCACTTCTTTTGTGCCCAGACTATTTTCCAATTAGGGTTTTTGCTCATTGTTTTCAAATCCTGTGAAAATACGTGCCGTTTCTTGTGATGTAGGAAATTGTGAAACGGCGGGAACGGCGTTGTTTTCGGTCTTTCAGTTCTGCTTTCTACAGGTTCAGAATTTTTTCTCGATGCTCTAGTAATAAGGGAAGTTTGATATACATATCACCTTCCAGTCTCCAGCATCCCTTCAGGTATTTCTCTGGTCAAAAATCAGAATCTTTCAAAATCAGGGCTATCGGTC